GTTTATTTGATACTTGATGCAAACTTGTTGAAAAACTCAGTTTTCTGCATTCTGCAGCATGAACTCGCCGAGTCCATGGGGGGACTCGACGAGTCCATGATAAATCATCCTACTCGTCGAGTAGGTTCGTTGCACTCGACGAGTAGGAGCCCAGAATGCAGATTTTCGAGTTTTGCTGCTGGAAATGGACTAGAAACATTACCCTAAACTGTTTTGGTGTTATAAAACTTGTTTAGATGGTGTAATGGTTATGCTAATCCATTTTCAATGGCTATTATCAAAATTTCAAGTTTTATAGGTTTATTTATGATTCTTGAAATTGTTGATATGAACATTCATGAACTTATGAGTTTAGAAGATCATAGGAATTATTTGTAACTGCTTGTTAGTTTAATTCTTGATCTTATGTGTTTAATGGAATCCATAATTTGTCCTCAAGTTATGGATTACCAAAAGTCATTCTTTTAAAGTCCATTAAAGAAACACATAGGTACATAAAATGAAAAGTCTCTCATTTTAAAAACCATTAACTCATAAGTTATGAAAGATGAAAAGTTTGAAAGTTACAAAACTTGCCCTCAAGTTTTGGAACATGTAAAGTCACTTTAAAAACTTTAGTTCCAACCCCTAGAATTTTAAAAGTTAAAATTCAACCCTTATACTTTATAATATTATAAGTTATAATAATTATATATTGTATAAGAACAAGTCGTTTTACCGTTAGTAGGCCTCATTCACGAAGCCGGTCTATAGGGGGGTATAAGGTTGTTGCCTATAAAATGACAGCTTAATGGGTGTCCACTCTCACCCACCGCTTCCTTGATGGTGGAGGGTCGTTAGCCGAACGGGTAAGACAAGGACTTTAAATCTTCATTAAAAGTATGGGAATATAAAGTAACAAAATGTTTTTATAAATTCCCAATCTTAGTTACTTTAGGAAAATGTGAATAAGGTGCTAACCCATGAAATTACACTTTGCACTTTGATTAAGTCGTTAGTGGAGCGTGTGTGGTTAACCGGCACACTAACCTGGACTTAACAAGGTAGGCAAAGGGTGGCTTAAGGTTTATCATAGGTCGGTGGAGCGCGTGTGGTTAACCGACACATCGATTGAGTGATAAACATTACTATTGCATGGTTACTTCACACCTTGTTTTGTGATCCTCGGCATCCCAGTCACAAAACCTGAAGGGCACACTCGAGATTAAAACATGCCATTGAAAAGTTCAATGAATCTCAAAGAATCTAGGAGTTTCAAAACAAATTAAAACCTAATAATTTTTTCGTTTTTTCATGGTGGAAATTGGTGAATCGTCATTCACCTACCTTCAAATATTTATAGCTTGGATTACGGCATCCCTCTTCTAAGTTATAAAATTGTGTTGGGTCCTAGCCTTAATATTACATTTGGGTGTCTTATTAAGGATTATCTTTATATCTAATCTAAACTTATCTTTCTTCCTTTCAAATGTCTTCCAACAATGCTGCTTCTGGCTCAAACCCTATCGGCTCCTTCTCTCTCATGAACCTTTGTGGGAGAGTCATCTTTGATGGATCCAACTTTATGGATTGGATCATGAACATCAGGATGGTCACTCGGTATGAGGACAACGAATATGTTCTCGACAAGGAGCTTAAGGAACTCGATGAGTCGTCTGCTACTCCTGAGGAGATCGCTGAATACCAGGCACATGAGAGAGATGCTACCAAAGTGGCATGTATCATGTTGGCCACAATGACAGCCGAGCTCCAAAAGTCCTATGAGGACTTCTACCCTTTGAGATGCACCAGGATTTGATGGACCGCTACCATCAGAGTGCTCGTCAAGAGCGGTATGAAATCATCTCCTCCATGATAACAACCCGGATGAAGGATGGTGAACCCATCACGGGCCACATGCAGAAAATGCAAAGGTATGTGGACCGTTTGCTGAAACTGAATGTGAACTTCCCCGAGGAGTTGGCAATTGACATCATTTTGCACTCCTTGCCTTCATGTTATGATCAATTCCGTATAACATACCACATGAACAAGGAGGAAGTTACACTCAGCAAACTTCAAGGACTCTGAAGACCCGAAAAGTGGTCTTAAGGTAAGTCGGTTTACCACTCCGACTCCTACCGCGGCCCTGTCTTGGCAATCGGTAAAGGAAAGGAAAGAAGAGGAAGAGCCCTTCGAAGGGTACCAAGGGAAATCCCTTGATGGCTCCTCTTCAAGTGGAACCAAGAAAGGTTTCGTCACTCCTTCTGCTAACCCTAAAGAGGCTGAATGCTATGCCATTGAAAAAGTCGCACTGGAAGCGAAACTGCCCAAAGTACCAGCAAGATGTGAAGGATGGGAAAGTAAAACCCAACCATGCAGGTATTTACACTATATTTCTAATAATTCACCCATTCTAATTCTTGGGTCCTTGATACAGGTTGTGGTATTCACATATGTTCTGATTTGCAGGGACTAAGAAGAAGTGAGAAGTGGAGCATGGGAAGATAAACTTGATCATGGGGAATAGGAAAGAAAACTCACCTGTCACCAAGATTGGAGTTTATTCTTTGTTGCTAAGTAGTGGGTTAGTGTTAGATTTGAATAAGTGTGTTACTCGTCTGAAATGGCGAAGAAATATTATTTCCTTTCATGGTTTGTAAAAACAAGGTTTTACATTTTCATTTGATAATGATAGTGGTGGTATTAATGCTTTCTTTAATAATGTTTCTTTTTTTAAAGCATTACCTTGTGATGGTGTATATGAAACTGTGTCAGTTGTTGATAACCTAGGAAATAATGTATTGTGTATCGATTTTTCCACTAGTTTGGATAAAACATCATTATGGATTTGTCGTCTTGGACATGTAATCAAGAAACGTATAGGCCAACTCCAAAAGGATGGAGTCTTGGAGTCGTTTGACCTAAAGTCAGATGATAGTTGTGAATCTTGTTTGCTTGGGAAAATGACAAAGTCACCCTTCACTGGCACTTGTGCTAGGGGTGAGGGTTTATTGGACCTCATACATACTGATGTGTGTGGACCCTTCAGAACTGCCACAAGAGATGCTAACCGCTTCTATGTGACTTTTACTGATGATTTAGTAGATATGGATATGTCTACTTAATCAAGCATAAGTCAGAGACCTTTGAAAAATTCAAAGAGTTCAAACAGGAAGTGGAGAATCAGTTGGGCAGGAACATTAAGATGCTTCGATCCGATCGAGGTGGTGAGTATCTTAGTACAAAGTTCCTTGACTATCTTAAGAAATGTGGGATTATCTCACAATTGACACCTCCCAGGACACCACAACTTAATGGTGTGGTTGAGAGGCGCAATCGAACCTTGTTGGATATGGTTCGTTCCATGATGAGTCGAGCTTCGTTACCAATCTCATTCTGGGGGTATGCCTTAGAGACTGCCGCCCATATCCTTAATCTAGTCCCTACAAAGAAGGTTGCCAAAACACCTCATGAGATGTGGACTGGAAAAGTTCCCAATCTGGACCACATCAAGATTTGGGGTTGCGAGGCTTTTGTGAGGCGCGAGTCTCACGATAAGCTCGAACCTCGAAGTGAGAGGTGTATTTTCATCGGCTACCCACAGAGATCCTTTGGTCACCTCTTCTACAGACCCAGTGATAATGTGGTCTTTATAGCAAGGAGAGGAGTCTTTCGAGAGAGAGAATTCATAAGCCAAGGAAACAGTGGGAGGCAAATTGACCTTGAAGAAATTCAAGAGTCAAGTGGTGAAGGAACCTCAAACCCTAGCAATCAACCTGAGGAGGAAACTCCTGTTGATTCGACAGAAGAGTCTGTACCTCTGAGGCGTTCCACGAGAGTTAGGAATGCACCTGAGCATTACTATGGTTTCCATATTACTGCGGAAGGTGATACACTTATCAGTGATAGCACACTGGTAAGTCTGGATGAACCTAACAGCTACACGGAAGCCATGGCAGGCCCTGAGGCTACTAAATGGAAAGAGACTATGGACAACGAGATACAGTCCATGTATGACAATCAAGTTTGGAACTTGGTTGACAATGTACCAGGTTGCAAGACAGTCGGGTGCAAATGGATCTTCAAGAAGAAGACCGACATGGATGGTAATGTACACACTTATAAGGAGCGACTGGTTGCAAAGGGCTTTTCTCAAACTCCGGGAGTTGATTATGATGATGAGACCTTTCACAGTAGTGAAGATTAAGTCTATTAGGGTTATGTTAGCCATTGCTGCATTTCATGATTATGAAATATGGCAAATGGATGTCAAAACCGCTTTCCTTAATGGAAAGTTGGCTGAGGATGTTTACATGAGTCAGCCAGAGGGTTTTGTCAGTGCATAGTACCCTAATAGAGTGTATAAGCTTGAGAAATCCATCTATGGATTGAAACAAGCACCTCGCAGATGGAATCTTTGTTTCGATGAGAAAGTCAAAGAGTTTGGCTTTTCGAGGAGTGAAGATGAGTCCTGTGTATATGTGTCAAGGCTAGTGGGAGTATAGTTAGCTTTTTGGTACTGTATGTGGATGACCTACTACTCATAGGAAATGACATCCCAACTCTGCAGGAAAAGAAGTCCTGGCTTGGGAAGTGTTTCGCTATGAAGGACCTTGGTGAAGCTGCCTATATCCTAGGGATAAGGATTTTGAGAGACAGGAGTAAAAGACTAATTGAACTTAGTCAGAGTACCTACTTGGATAAGGTGTTGAATAGGTTCAGCATGCAGAATTCCAAGAAAGGAGAGTTACCGATCTAGAGTAACTCCAGATTGAGTAAGACTCAGAGCCCGAGTACAGAGACTGAGATAGCTGAGATGAGTCGAGTACCTTATGCTTCCGCTGTAGGCTCGATCATGTATGCTATGACTTGTACTCGTCCTGATGTGGCCTTTGCATTGAGCATGGTCAACAGATATCAGGGGAACCCTGGCAAGGCTCATTGGACTGCGGTAAAGAACATTCTCAAGTACCTGCGGAGGACTAAGGACTGGGTCCTTACCCTCAGTGGGAGTTATGACTTGAGAGTATTAGGGTATAATGATGCTAGCTTCCAGACTGATAGGGATAATTTCCGCTCTCAGTCAGGCTGGGTCTTTCCCTTAAACGGAGGAGAAATTTCTTGGAAAAGTTCCAAGCAGGAGACAGTGGCTGATTCAACTTGCGAATCAGAGTATATAGCAGCAAAGCGAGGCAGCAAAGGAGGCTATATGGCTAAAGAACTTCATTGGAGACCTTGGAGTTGTACCAGCTATAAAGGAGCCTATGGAGATTTTCTGTGATAGCAATAGTGCGGTTGCCTTAGCCAAGGAACCAAGAGATCATGGCAGATCCAGATACATCGACATAAAATACCATTTCATCAGACATCGAATATAAGAAGGACTCATCGTGGCAAAGAGGGTATCATCGGATGAGAACCCGACAGATCCCCTCACGAAGGGACTGGGCAGGGTTAAGCATCTCCAGCATGCAAGGCGCATAGGGCTGAAGGATGATATTAGTTTTAGTAGTTAGATAGCTTTGAAATGTGTAAAGTGTAATTGACATTTGATGATGAATAAAAGTTGTTGTTTATTTATGAGTAAAGTGTTGCTATCTTGTCCGTTTACTATCGGTTCATTTTACATGTTTGACTTCCAGAATTAATTATGTTATGGTATCATATTATTCAAATTCTCCACAGTCGGTCATATTTTGGAAGTAGATATTAATCAAGACTGTCATGATTTGGCTTGTAGATGTCTAAGATGTTGGTGTTGGATTAATGTCTAAGTCCATAACTATATTTGGTACGTACTTGATGTCACACCCCGATCCTTGTCGGAATCGATCAAGGCGTGATATATTGTTCAAAGTCTCATGACAACTATGTTATAATATGATTAGATTCAATTAAGTACTAAGTATGCAAACAAGATCCACAAAACAAATACTAAAATCCAAATACGAACAACATTTATTACATCAAATTTAAATAGTCTTGTGATTTCTAAGGCACAACCTATTTTTCATCAACTTCATTCTTCAAATCTGCATCATGGGTAAAAACAGGTCAACTACGAGAGTTGGTGAGTAATCTAATTTTAGTAGAGAAAATTTGTGAAGTTGAAACATTTATAATTTGAAATTTGTTTTCTTTTGAAGTCGGCAAACAATTGTATTTGAGATAACGGTTTATAAATCCAAAATTGATTACAAATGATAACAACAACAATAAGTCCTCACCCCTATATACATATGTATATATATATTAAATATATATATATATATATATATAATATATATAATATATATATATATAGGATGGAGCATCTAATCATCATACACACTCAACCACGTGCGATCAATCACCTTAGCGTCCAAGGCGGGGTGGTCAACCCAATAGCGCTATTATTGTCCATAACGACCTCAAGAATACGGGCATAGTCATGAAGATTAGACTAAAAAGTAAGCACTACAAGTACATGTAGCGTAAACAAACAATAGTTATACAATTAATGACTCATGTATAAATGTCCCAACAATGTCTCAATTGTGATAAAACAATAAAATGAAGTTGGAACATATTAGAACCACATGATACACCCAAAAGTATTGAAAATTAAAAATATGGGGTAGATTACTCACATTAGTCCCAAAACGAAATGCGTGTGTCGTACGATAGGCGGTTCGGGTCAAAATGGCGTAGAACCTAATTAATAATAGTTTTGGTTTAGGAACTGCTAAACGAGAATAGAGTATTAATACAAATTATAGTTTGTTATGTAAATGTATCATAAACTATACCTATTATAGTTTATCCCAACAAGGGTAGTAGTAGTGTTCATAAACTATAATTGTCATAGTTTACCAAATGTTTGTGTATAACGGATGTAAACTTTGTTTATAAAAATTAATTATTTACCATACTTGTGAAGGTAAAAATCCATTTGTTTTCTGATGTATGTCTAATTACCAAGACAAAATGACATATAATGTAATAATATATGATTACATAATGATATACACCTTGCTCAACGAGTTACAAGGCGTAAATGAAATTGATGGTATTTTTCTAGTAATAACGTCTCTGTTACTGTTCTTAGAAATATTATAGAAAAATCATCAAAGGTCTAAATCAAAAACCGCAAATTCTGAGAGTTTAGAAAGTGTGTCTAGTTTGTTCATAAATTTTCTCATGATTTTTAGTGATCTCCAACTTGTGTGAAAATATTCATATTCACAGACTGGTCCGGTTTTGTTTCTGAAATGATAGACAGTTTTGTAAAAATCACCATAAATCGTAGAAAATCATATGGTGATGTGCAAGTAGTCATTTTAAAGGTATGAACCTGAATATGCGTCTGAAACAGTTTTGAAAACTAAATGTTTTAAGTTGACCAAAACAGTCCGTGAATGGAGTTAAACGTTTCTGTTGAAGACTGTTAAATGAGTTTAGTTGTGTTTTGGTGTTTTAACTTGTATTCCCCCCCTTAAAACTTAAGAAAACACATGAAAAATATAGGGGTGTGAACTCACCTTATGTGTTATTAGAGGATGGATGTTGGAGAAGAGAAGTGTTCAACCCAAGAACACTTAGAAGATGCCTTGACGAATCGAGAACCTAACATGAAGGTGACGATGTTTGTGTAAGATTCTTATGATTTTGAGTAGAAGGATGTGTAATAATCATAAGAAGAATGATTATACTTACCAAGAGTGGAAGAAAGCTTGATAATCAGCCTTGGAAGTCTTGGAATTGAGAGAGAATGGTGAGAGAATTTGGAGTGTGATCCTTGGAGGGAAATGAGAGAATGAAAGAAGTATGAAAGAGGGGATGGGTTTTTATACTTAGACAAGGAGTGGGGCTGGTCATGTAGTGGGTATGAGTTGGTCATGTAGTGGGTAAGAGCTGGTCATGTAGTGGGAAAGAGTTGGCCATGTAGTGGGTGTAAGTGGTGGCATGTGTCATAAAGTAAAGTAAAGTCATCTTCCACCTCAGCACCTCCCCCACTAATTATTGGTATGAATGCCCTAAAAACGTGGGGATTACTGAAATATAGAGTTCTAACTGTAAAAATAAAGTTTTTGGTGAAAATCCCGCGTTAAAATGATGAAAACGGGCCTAAAACGAAGTCGTAGTCGAAAAAACCGGAAAAATTATGACATGCAAAAATGCATGTCGTCTTCTTTTATGACAGGGGCTTCCTTGATACTCATTGCGTGTCATCAACACGTGCGTCGTAAGGTTACGACAGAAAAATGTGTGTCGTCTTCCTTTATGACAGGGACTTTGGTCCCGAAGCTTCAGTTTTGGGTCCTTAAGCCTATTTTACCCGTTTTTACCCCGTTTCAAGTGGTTTTTGACCCAGTTAAGGGTCGGGATGGCCCCGAATGATTACAAAAATTTAAAGGAACTGTTGAGAGAGATTTGGGAGAGATTCGGGAGAGATTTGGGAGAGATTTTAATAGAGAGAGGTTGAGTGAAAAGAGATGTGGTTTGTGATCTTTTTGAGTGTCCGGCTTCGCAACGAAAGGTCCATAAACCCCGTTAAGCCATGATTTAGTGTCTTACACAATCCCGATGATTGTGCAATAGTGTTTTATCGCTTTGGTTCGTTGTTTATCACTGTTAAGGCTAAGGAAAATCAAATACATGAATTTTTTCAAATGATGTTTTCTCATTGAAATAGCGAATTGTATAATGTAAACCCTAACATACAAGGGTTAATGGAGTTGACCGGTTTGACTTGTTGACTTTGTTTGACTTTGACTTGACCGAAATTTGACGGTTGTCACATCATCCCCCCGTTAGAGGGAATTTCGTCCCGAAATTTGCATTTTGACTGGGACTTCAAGAGTTTGGAAAAAAATGTGGAAAACTTCTCGTAGTACAAGAAATTGATTATGGTGAGGAACAACCCGCCTGATGTCACATGACGACCTTGGAAATTTCTTATTGTAACTTGAGCTGAGTCAATTTAAAAGGAGTTTATTGTTTTAGGATGATAGAGTATTCTATGTGTACTTTTATACTCCCTGTTTTATCCTTGGTATTACCACTATGAATATTTTATAGTTAGCGAGTTCCATCATTACGAATGTTTCAACAAATTTTGACGAAATTTGCATTATAAGTCCTACCAGTTCTTTTATAGTCGCTTGGCGTAAACTAGTCGTATATCATTAAGATTGCAAGGGCATTCGTCGTCACCACAAGTTTAATCTATTACGATGACTTGTTGTCGCTATAGGTTTTTAACAAGAGCCAACGACATACCTATAGCGACACACAAGTCATAATTTGCATGTGTGAAGACTTGGAGTACTTTCTAATTGGTTCATGTGTGAAGACTTGGAGTACTTTCTAACTGGTTCATGTGTAAAGACTTGGAGTATTTTCTAATGAAAAGTGTGCTACTTGGGAAATTGGAAACTGATACGTAGCTTCAAAGTCAAGAATATGCAGTAGGCATGTGATGCATTAAATGCATGAGGCACACAAGTCATCATTTGCAGCAACAGATACGTATATGTGTGTGAATTGAAGAAGAAGGTTACGGCTCAAAGAATATATATATATATATATATATATATATATATATATATATATATACATTTTCTCTTCATTTGTTAGATACACAATAACCATAACATCATAGACTATATATATTCAATTTCGTTTGTAATTTTCACTAGTTTATATTCCGCGAGTGTTACCGAAATCATTTATCAATTTTTCAGAAGTGCTTAACTTGTTTTGTTGCATTCCCAACAATTTGCTATTAATTACTTCTCCCACTTCACTTATATAAATCATCACATTCTTACCGCGACTTTTAACTTCTCCCTCACAAATGGATCCACCTGCAGATCATCAAAACCCCATAGATGACCTCGATTGGTTTCAGTACTTTGATCATCAAGATCTTTTCAGGTATATATAAACGTCACTCATTACACCATCTTTCGCACAGAAAAGTGATTTTGTCGACATTGATCAAAACATGGTTTGGATTTGTAGGGATCAAAAAGAGTCTTTCATCGTGTTGGATTTGATTATCTTGAGTTTTTTTTTTGGATTTTTGCAGTGGTGACATGCTCGACCATCAAGATTACGAGTTGTCGGAAAAATTGCATGAAGTGCTCGATCAAAACGTTTCCACAGTACTTAACAAAGATCAAAACATCATTTCTAGAAATGAGTTTCACGATTTTGATCCCCTTGAAGACATAAGCTTATGGGATTGTTGGGAGGATGGTAATTTACCATTGGTTAGTTTCAGTGAAGACTGTAAAT